CAGGTCTGTTGTACCATTTATATCCTTGCATTTGTGACAGGGAATAAAATGTGTAGTTCCTCTACAAATGTAATAAAAACAACAATAACAAATGTAAAGACTCATGTCTAGTTCATCAGGTGGAAGATGCCCTGAATCATGTCCTCATAGTGCTATACTGCAGATTCCTGCTCTGAGCGGACGTCATTTCATCCATCGGGAGTTTCTGCTGAACAGCCAAATCACATCAGAAACTATAACCAGAGAAGTTTGACCAAGACTGACAACATTTGAAAGACATTTCTCTTTCAATCAGAGGTTAAACACTACATAAATCCCTGCACACCAACTCCATCTTACACACCCTGTGTTCAGTCTCTTCTCAGGAGAGAAGTGTTGTTTTTATTTTTATTAGGAGGTTAGGTAATGACTTCATACATTCTTTGTAGTAGAAAGACTGACGCAAAAAAACTCAAAAGTACGTTTCAACAGATACTCGCAAACTGAACAAACTGCCTTTCTGGCATGTTGGACTGCAACCAATGCAAGAAGGTATAACTACAATGGGCGTCAATAAATAACTGACTCCAAATATGCTGGTGGTCCAGTATTTTTTGTTTGGAGAACGAGACTGAGCACCTATTTTATTACTGTACTTGATGTCCTTCTTTACAGCCTAGCATTGGCTGTATTAAAGACATTGTTATGCTGGAATGTAAGTTAAACCAAGTTCATAGTGTAAAGGCATGGCTTGTGTGAAAATAATCAAGGTGTTTTAAAGGTTTTACTAGCTTCATTCAACTAGAAATATTTAGCATTTTCTTATTTGATGAGGCATTTTAGTTGATCAGTATGAGGGCTTCAAATAATCATTTTAAAATTGAAACCATTAGTTGATTAGTGGTTTGACAGAAAATTAATCTATTAACGGCATGTTTATGCCATTTACAAGCAAATACCAAACATCACCTTGTTCAAGCTTCTCAAATTGTAAGGATTGGCGGATTTTCTCTTATATATTACAGTAAACTTGATTATCTTTGGGGTTTAGACCCAAACTGGACATTGGCATGTTTTAGCCATTGTCTGTCAAACGATTAATCGAGAAAATAAACAGCAGATTCATCAATAATGAAAAATCATTTGTTGTAGCCCTGGATAAATTCTTTCTGGATAAATAATAGACTTCTTTCTTTCATGCATTGAAAAATAATATTGATACTGGTATAATGACAGCAAGCACATAAGCATTTAATTTCTAAGAAAATACAAACTGATTAGGGGGGAAATTCAGTCATGATACAACATGAAAGAGTTTAGAGAGAAAGGGAGTGTGTGAGAAAAGGGAAACTGGAGAGAACAACATGCTCAGAGGAAAATGTTACTTTAGCCTCAAAGAGAGAGAAATGTATAGAGAAACAGATACACACACTGGCTGGATTGGGAGTTGGGTGAGATTGAGTGAGGGAGGGAGGGGTGTATTGAGAAGAGCTTGAAATGAGGGGGATGCAGAGGATTTTTTCCTCCCTCTCTCTTTTTTTTTTACCCAGCATCCCTGGCTCCGGCACGTGTCACAGAGCGTGTTCATCACATGAACAGCAGTGTTCTCTCTCTCTCCCTCCACCCACACACACCCTCTCTCGCTCATACAAAGCACTAGGGGGAAGCACATTCACAAGGATGAAGAAGTGGAGACCCTGCCTCAGTTTAAACACACACGCATGGATGCACGCACACACTTGGATACATTTCATTCACATATGTGCATGTTTCTTACATAAATGAAGCCTAATTCCTATTCATAAAAAAATTATATTTTAATATAAAGAAATATTCTTTCATAATAATTACTACCACCCTGTAACTCAGTTTGTGTTGATAAACTTGCACCTCAAATGTTTACTCCTGAAGCCGAATCAAAATGACTAAATGTGCTGACCCAAGTCTTTGTCACTCTTGTGCTATACTAATAAATGGCTGCATCCTTCTTATATAATAGGACCATTTTCTCAATAAACTGTAATGTCAAGGGTGGGGGGGGGGCACTCTAAGGCACACATCACATCACTACACCCCCCACCCACCACCCTCTCAAAAAGCTCCCTTTGGTCTAATTTACTTCCCCATAATAGAGTTTCACTTACAGTCAACAGAACAGACACAGGCTCCCTTATATAATATGGGATGCTGGGGGCTAAGAGTGAAGTGAGCCAAGAAAAGAAAACTGGTCACTACTACACATCACAGTCCAACACGGCTCCACTGGAAATAAAAGTATAAACATTGAACACTACATTATTTAAAAGAAAATCTGCTAAAATGCCACAATATATCAGAAAGAGTTAACTTTAAGACTAAGAAAGCCAAGTTACTGCACACTACTAACAAAAGCCTACAGTAATCCCCTTCTTCTGATGCACCTATTAGTCTTTTTCATAAAATGGTAAAAAAAAAAAAAAAAATACTATTCTGTCCATTTGTTATGACTAATAAGCCACTGTATCCAACACACACATCAGTCCAGTATAGTTTGTTTGGTACCTGGTTAACTTATTTTATTTTTTATTTTTTTTAAATCAGCCTATGTCAGGTTTTCCAGTGTTTACAATGGCTGACATTTCTGTTAAAATAGTTTAAAAACAGAAAACAATACTTAAACAGAGAGAGAGAGAGAGAGAGAGAGAGAGAGAGGAAGACAGACAGACAGCCTCGAGACTCTTCTTCAATGAACCTTTGTTAAAGCATTGTGCTTGCTGGTGACTAACCACACAGACAGACACATATACATTGACACACAGACAGACACACACTGTGGCATTATACCCACAACTGACCTCAGCAATACTAGTTTATGGTAGCAGTCTGTGAGTATGTGTGTGTGTGTGTGTGTGTGTGTGTGATGTCATACCTATGGCTCGTGTCCAGGTGTTTCACTGCTGATCTGTGTGTGTGTGTGTGTGAGTGTTTCCCTGTGATCTATTATGACTGTGTTTTTGTGTTCTTGTGGGTGTGTGGTTGTGCATGAATCCAGAGAAGAGATGAGGTCATATGATTGGCCAAGCAGACACTGATGTCTGACTTGGTTTCTCTCGCTCTCGCTCTCAATGCCAGAGAAAAAAATATTGAATTCATTTAGTCAATCCTCAGCAACCACCACAAAGGTTATGTGACATTTTCAGTGACTGTTGCATTCATTCCACTTGGAGCTAGTAGCTTAACGTGTAATTGTGTTTTATTTGTTTGATACGTACAAAACCTAAAATGTCACCAGAGAGTCAGGAAGTTACTGACTGTTTTACAGTTTCCATGCAGATTGAACAAACATGATATAACATGTTAATTAGTGGACTTTTAGGGAGGTTGCAGGTTGGTTATGCCACCACTGGACGGAGCCAGGTTAGCTGTTGTGTATTATTCTTCTCATCTGACTCTCAGTAAGAAATCAATCCTATTTCTCAAATGTCAAACTATTCCTTAAACTACAGTATCGCCAATTACCCTAATGTATTTTTATTGATTGAACGAAGTGCATTTGGTGTCTGCGACGTATCCTGAGATATCATAACTCACAACAGACAGACACAGTAGGGGGCAAAAGAAACCACCAAGGCTGCTGCTGAAGCTAAAGGATTCATATCCAGTATTGTAGGTGTTTGACCTTCTCTGTGGTACCTCAAATAATGTTTTTGTGTGTTTTAAAAACCTATGGAGTACATATTGGGAACCTTTCTCCTTCACTCCCTCTGTCTTTTTGCCTCATCTTTCTATTTCTGTTTCTCTCTCTCTTTCCTCCACCCAGCTTTCTCCTCCTCCCACCTCTTTTCTCTCTCTGTGTCTATATGACAAAGCCCAACAATTACTTCTTTCTCTCTCTCTCTCTCTCTCTCCCTCTCTGACTCACTGCAATGTAATTACGCTGACTGTCCGCTCAAACACCACACGCACGCACACACTCGGAGGGAGAGGGGCAACTTATTTACAATATCTGTGGTTGTAATTGTTCTTTTGCTGTTCAGACACTGCCTAGCTCTGAGAAAACGGAGGGAACAAGACAGCGGTTTCAAGGAGTCAGTCTTACACACGTATATATATATATATATATATACACCAGAGGGAAATGCTGTGTTCCAGTTCCATTCATCACTAGTTGACATGCTGCACCACTAACCTGAATGACCGAAGGTAGCTAGCTCAAAGTGTGTGTGGGTGTGTTCTTCCTTGTGTGTGTGCAAACCCCCGAGCAGGGACAAGTTATTAACTACGATGTCATTTCCTGCCATTGTAGCAAATTTCAGCACACGCAGTAAGAATGCTACGCTGCACAGTGGTCCATCTACGACACACACTAAAACAACTGTATAAGGATAAGCCCAGAAAAAAAACATGCTCCCATTCATTTCCTGCATGTTTTTAACTACAATATATGTCAGTGTAGCTGCTAATATGAAGTACTGACCGCATACGAATTTGATGAGGGTTGACCACATCGTAGTCATAGTAAGATACCTGCTTAATAAGGTCGGCATCAGCGCTGATACAGATCCTGCATATCAGTGTACCAATACTGCACCAATGCTCACTTTCTGACAATTAGGATATATGGTGGATATATCAGTCTAGCTTTTACTATGTATAGTCACACTTCTGCTGAAATAACAAATACACACACACAATGACACACAGGTGTTCACCATCCGGGTATTATCGTCTAATTTTAAAATTCCACCTCAATTAGCAAAACACACAAATGCAACAGCAGGAATGCACAAACATATTGCTAAACCAAAGATATTTTCAACTGTTTACTCGTGTTATCTTGGATAAACACCGTCATTATCACAGTAGAGCAACACACAAACACACACACACACACACACACACAGGTACACACAAACATACCAACACATAAACACTCAGACAGATCTGAGTAGAGTTGCTGCTGCTGAGAGGAAGAAGGCGTTTTCCTTTCGGCTCCTGGGGGACACAGCATGCTTTAGGATGTACAGTAAGTGCTCTGTGAGTGTGTGTGTGCGTGTGTATGTGTCTCCTGATTTCACCCTCACACACGCACACATACACACTCATAACACAGTCAGACGCACACATTTACTGTCTGTCTGACTGCAGTAGTGGAGCTCCGGCAGCAGAAATCCGGTCGGAAAGGATTCCTTCCATTTTTACGCGCAACTTTTCCTCCGTCGGCCGCTTCAGCGCGACGTTTCCACCGCTACCCCTCGACTGTTGTGGATTTCTAACAACCGCTTCCTGGCTGTTTCTAACGGACAACCAGCGAGGTGTCAAGCCCGCCCGGAATCGGATCTCCTGTCACCGGGTTTGCTTGTTGTCATTTTCGCACGGAGACGGAGACGCGCAGCCGGAGCGCAGACAGAAGGTAAGTGCGGGAGGGAAAACGAAACCTTACCGGACATATTCTCACACTTATCACAGTGACAGCGGGGATTTCTGTGCCATGACGGACATTATGGGCTGTTTTCACGGCACTTGATCTTTTGTTTAGCTTATTAGGGCAAGGCTATGCAGGGGGAATACCCCGGGCACGCATTGCATTGCATGCAGATTACCCGGGTTGCGTAATATCCTGAGGAATTTGCAGTAGCCTGCACGGCCAGGCTGGCTGCAAGGCCGGGGGAGAGATATCGAGGGAGAACCGGAGGGAGGGGGAGTGTTGCTGGATATGAAGCTGTGAAAGTGGAAGCTCGGATAGGTGTGATGGTAATTTTGCCTATGGAAGGTCGATTTTCATGCATATATGCGTTGTGAAGCAACAAACCAGATCTGTCCGCATCTGGGTGGTTTGACTCATAGAAGTTCACTTTGCAAATCCCTCTAATATTCCTGTGATACTCCTTAATCACTGTATGGTGCCCGTGGAATGTTCAGAAGTGAGTTTAAGCTGTGACCTTAGCGCACTCCCGTTGGTATTTCCTTGTTGCCGCTACAGTGTGTTCAGTGACAGAAGCTTATTGCTACAGTGTGTGTGTGTGTGTTGTTGTGGAGTTTGTCTCCAAAAATACAAACTGTTATATGCAGAGATTCTTTTTTCAGAGGGGAGTGACTTTATCTCATATGCTCATCGTTTGTTTCCTCTGTTTGTGTGTGTGTGTGTATGAGAGAGAACGAGAGAGAGAGAGACAGAGAGAGAGAGGGAGAGAGAGAGATGGTGGGTGGTGCGCTGGCTGGTTCCGGGAATGTTCCATGACGCGTTGCCGTCTAGAGAGGGGCCCCGGCCAGGGAGACTCCGACTCACGGCCCGGCCCTGCTCTCTCTCTCTGTCTCTCTCTCCCTCTTTAACAAGCCTGCTGATACTCTTGTGCTGGAAAATATTTCAGTCTTTCTTCGCTGCATATTCACGGAAGAGATTTACAGCCTCATCATATAAGCACGTCGTGTTAGCCCTACCGGACGCCATAATCCTGCTGTGATCCGCTAATCATTCCTGCAGGGAAGCTCTCTCTTTTCCCTGAGCGTCCACCAATCCACAGAGAGGTCAGAGGTCAAAGGTCAGGGTCAAACACTACTGTATGCTTAAGGACACTATACAGCAGGGCAGATGATTGGCAAATGAGGGTCTGAAGTACAGGTTTGAACAGCTGAAGGACACTGGTGCTGCCCAGCTGCTGCCAACATGACTTTGGTTCTCAGAGCATTTCTTTGATGTTTAATTTGTCACAGGAAGCACAAATAAAGGACACATTGCCAATAAAGACCAATGAAGATCAAGCTCACATCAGCTTACACGAAGCATCCAGGGAAGAAATAAATCAATCAAAATATTTAGTATAAATTATAAGATAAGTATACAATCAAAAGTCCCATTTTCACAAACAGTATTGTCACTTCGTCTTTGTTGGCAGGGTAAGCAGCTAATTTTAAACTCAGATTGACACTGTAAAGATGGTATTTTTAGAAACTAGGAAAAGCTGTGTGCCCTGCAAAACAATTAAAGAGAAATGGAAGCTGAATGTCGACAGAAAGAAATGAACCGAAGAGAGAAGCGCCGCTGATGAATGCTTTGTTGCTGTTTCTCGAAACTGCAAAAGAAGAGCAATAACAGAAACTTGAATGTGTTTGTGGTCCTGGCGGGGTTATAAGCCTGTAGCTAAAGAGATCATTACAGTATGTATTCTGCTGTCAGGACACATGCTGAGGACGGCTGTGTGCGTGCATGTGTCTGTGCTAAACGTGTGTGAGAGTGTGCGCGGGGAAAGACCGACCTACGTACCATCTGTCCCACTGCCACCTCAGATGGCCATCAGGGTGTACTGCGTAGGAGCAGCACACACACACATACATACACACACACTGTTACCAGGGTGGATAGGCGTATGGAGAACGTGCGTGAGGTGTGAGTTGATTTTCTGCACGAAACATTCAATTAATTTATTACTTAGGCCTTGTGGGAACAATATGTGTGTATGCATGCATGTGTGTGCGAGGTACACCTACCAATACATAACATGCTACAGTTGGACAGCAGTGTCCAGCAGGGCTGAAAGTTATCTGACTAACAATCCTTGATTCTGTGCCTTGGAGATCTGTTTCACCATGGACAATAATCACAGTTGCATCATGCAGGGCTGACATTGCGCTGTGTGTTGTCTTCTGCGAGATGAAAACAAACATTCATGGTTAAAAATGGAGGAAAGAAGAAAGAGGAAGAGCACAAAAAAGTTTTGGGAGCATTTCAGTTTGGAAGAAGCCAAGTGGCTGTATAGCAGCTGTGTCACACTGGCATTACAGGGCTAGTGTTTACCTGCTGTATGGCTAGTGTGCTAGCAAATTTCTTTCAAATTATTATTTCTGATTCTGATTATGTAAGATTTGGTGTGTTTTTTTTATTTGGCTCCCCGACAGTTTCACAGTGCAATTCACTTACACACCACTGTTGTAAACATGGACAGCTGTACACGTGCATTTTTAGATTACATTACTTATGATGAAATGTAGCGAGGTGAAAAAACTTTGCAAACACAGCCAAACATCATCCTAGGCAACAACACAAGACATACTGTAGTAATTACTCACTAAGTCAAACCAGCAAGAAGCCACCCCCGTTCTGTCTGCAGCCTTTTTATTTCGCGAAGCTCTCACGCAACCGACTGAAAGCCAGTCCTGAGATTACTCTTGTCCAGTGGCTTCTCTCTCATTTTCTCTTCTTGGCTCCTCATCGCGTCCCTCCCTCGGTCATTCACATGACCTGCACAGCCTGTCCGTTGCCTGCCTCGCTACACACTTGTCCCACCCGGAGACCAAGTTACATAGTTCGACAACAGGCGTACAGGGTGCAGAGTGGGAAGACAGAGGCACCATTCCCCTATTACAAGAAAATGTAGTATACAATTAGTCTAAGCTGCTATTTTAGGTAGAAAAGTTACATAATGAGGCTTTTAAACCTACCAGTCTGAATTGATTTCAATAACAGATTTGACAAGAAAAAAAACGTGTTCCACCTTGTATTGTATTGTATTGCCTTTTTCTTCACCCCAGTCTGTTACTGAACATTCAGAACACCTCAAGTAGATTGTTAACCAACAAATAACACCTGCATTGCAACCATAATCACCTGCAGCGCAGTAAAACACTGTGCTTTCTGATTTCTAACTTGGTAATAAAATGAATGGCTTCCTCCAGAGAGCGACGAATTCAGAGCGTTAAAGGATTTTAAGAAAATCAACACTGAACTGATCCACGGTTTATTTCTCTGAAATTGTGCAAGCTTTTGAAGCACTGCACAGTTTCGTGTGTGTGTGTGTGTGTGTGTGTTGTGTGTGATCACTTAAGAGCTGTAGAGGAACTGAGGCGCTCCCGGTGACCAAGGTCCTGACAGCGATGGCTAAATTATTAGATAAACACTCACGAACAACAGACACACACAGACACACACACACACACACAGCTAATGAGTTGGTTGATTGGCTTCTCCTGATAAATTCTTCCTCTGTGGTTTACACCTGGAGGGGGGGAGAGGAGATGAATAAACAGGAGAGAAAGAATGAACTAGAGGAGAACCAGGAAGGAAGGAGAGGATTGAAAGCTGAGAGAAGAGAGGAGACCGAGGAGAAGAAACAAGAAGAAAAGAAACAGATGAAAGGAAAGGAGAGGAGAGGAGAGGAGGATGGAGGAGAGGAAGCAAAAGGAGAGGAGAGAAGAGGTTTAAAGGAAACGAGGGAAGAGGGAAGAGAAAAGAGGAGAAGTGAGGAAAGGAAACAAGAGAGGAGGAGAAGGGAAGATTATGAAGGAGGACAACGAGGAGTAACAGAGAGCAGGAAGAGGAGAGGAGACAGTATGAGAGGTTTCCAAGCTGCACCAACAGAGGAGTATCTATTCTGTCAGCTGTTGACACACTTTTCATTTGAAGGACTTTGCTCAGTAGGGTGTGTGTGTGTGTGTGTGTGTGTTCTCAGCTTGTTGTCCTCGGCTGTACAAAAGGAAACTCCCTCTCTTGCCCCCTACAACAGCTAAATGAGGAATTTTTTTGGTCCCTCAGCCAATCAGTGATCACCTTGCTGCTGACTGACACGTCTGTTGCTCCACAGCGACCAATAGTATGGCAGCTTTTTAACGAGAAGGGAAATATGATCGTTTTCCTCACGCTCAGCTCCCACCTGTGAGATGCTTGCTATAAACCGTGTGTGTGTGTGTGTGTGTGTTTTTGTGTGACAGCAAAAGAGACTGATATTGAAACCCAACCTCTCAGGGAAGCACTGGATTGTCAGGTGGGCTGTGTGTGTGTGTTTGGCTATTCAAATGGACGGGGAGATGATGGAAAGATAGAGTAGAGAGAGAGAGAGATAGAAAAAGAGAGAGAGAGACCTTTACTCAAACTGGCCTACTTTCTCAACAGCTTGTAATTAGTCTCACTTCATGCATTTATGCATCAGACAGTAGAGCTAAATCAGTGTTTTGTAATCAGAAAATCCCAAATGACACAACCAACAGTCAGTTCTCCCTTTACTGTAGTACTGCCAGTGATTATAAATCATTATAACTAATTTATATTATATGAAATATATATTTTTATGCTCTATACTTCAGTACATTTAGATAAATATATGTATTTAAATTAATATATATATGAAATATGAAGTGTTGTTGTAGATTAAACTATCCAGCCTATATAAAATAGTGTAAATTGACTCCATCTCAACCAACTTAAGGTTATACACATTAATGTAGCAGCGCGATAATACAATTATATTATATCTAATAGTATAACACTTGCAGAGCCAAATTTTGCTCATAATATTTAGATACTTTTACTTGTAGTCCCCTTTCACTGGGCCACCACTGCCTCTCCAACCGTGCTTTGAATGCTTTTCTACTATTTGAATAACACAGTAAAGATAGTTCCTTGTCGCCTGCAGCTCTTCATCTATCAGGTCACTATGGCTGTTTCTTCTTGTACTATTCCCTCTTGAAACATTTAAAAGTAATCCGCTGACCTAATGGCACTAAGCATGTCTACATTTTGTTATGTAGGCTATTGCTAACAAAGCCGACTTGCTAATCTCAGTGACAAATGCTTTTTCTATCACTGCTTCAGAATATAACAGTCCCAGTGCTTCAGTAGAAAGCATTACACGTGAAGAAGCAGGGGAAACTTTCTGGTTTAAATTAACATAGCAAATACAGCAGGCTTAACTATGCACATGGAAAAATGCTAATGGGGTTGGTTTCTGATAGCTGGCTAATCTTGATGAAAAGCTTTTTAAGGTAAATGCTCTGAAATTTTGGGACGTACAGTACTTGTTGCTGTTTTGCAAGGCTTTAGATAAGAAGACTGATTTAGTGGTCTAGAACATGTTAGCCCAACATAGCCAGAGTGTAGAAGAGGCAGAGGGAAACTGCTGGCTTAAAGAGGAAGAATATGCCTCCAAAAAATGATCTAGTTTTTGTACGTTTTTTTTTTATAGTGACAGTATGGAGTCGAAACAAATGCCACACACCACAACATTTATAGCCTAAGCTAATTTGCAACGCCCGTCCCTAGATGGGCCTTTAAAATACACAAAATTCAACAAATACACAAGAGACAGTACAAAACACAAACTCAACTCAAGTATGTCATTTTATGTTAGCCACCAATACATCCATTATCTTCATGATGAGAAGCAAAGAAACTGGGCTCTGCTGTTTAAAGCTCACTAAGTAAGCGAACTGCTAGTAAACCATGGCGTCTTTGTTTTCTGTGTTCAATACATGAGATATAACTTGTAAACATGGCTTTTGGATTGTAGGATGGCACCTTTGACAGAGCTTGGCTGTCAGTTTCCCCTCTGGCATTCTGTATTGCTTGACCATCAAGCACAGAAATGAAACTAAAATTTGTCCCTTAATGCTTGCAGAAGCTAACAAATCTATCAATAAAACTTTTAACTCTTTTTTATTAGCAAAAAGCAGTTTGAAACAACTAGCAAACTTTGAGTTTTTTTTCTTTGAATGTCAATATGTTGGATTTTAGTTCTTAAATATTGGTTATTTAGAACTTTTGTTACTTAGAATTGTTGAGAGCTACACCTAAACAGATTAAGGATTTGGATTTGATACGCTGATTTAACCCCCAACTCTAATCTAGACAACCATTTTCATTGTTTGGTTTAAAAAACGTTTCTTATTAATATCTAGATAACATCTAAAATGTAGATGACATGACACCAGTTCCGGTGTTGTATGATTAAGAAAATGTTTCAGTCATCTGAAATGCCAGAGCACCCTTTGATGTCGATCACTCTGAATCTACAGCCGCTCAGCGACTTTCAATAGTCATACGGGGAGAAATATACATTTTTGCACCCACAGACATGAAACCAGAACTTTATGATGACAACATTGGTTGTTGAGCTTTGAGTAAAGTGTGAAACTAACTAACTCTCAGTGGGAAACTCTCACTTTTGTGCTTGCAGTAACTTACGCCTCACGTTTACGTGCATGTAAAACCCTAAACTTGTCTATGGGGGGATGTCCAGTGGCATGTTGGGAAATGTAGTAAATCTAACTGACATACATAAGGCAGATTTAGTAAAAGGAGGTAAACCAAAAATGGCAAATGGCTACACATCACAGACTGACTGATTGATGGACTGATGTCTAGTGTAAGTGTATCTTTCTTAAATTGTAGTCTCAAAATGTATTTAAGACATATTTGTTGTTTATTTATTTACCATTAGCACTAATTTAGCTGTTAATTATTATTTTTAATTTATTTAGAGATCCAGTGTGTAACATTAGGGGGTATATTGGCAGAAAATGGAATATAATATTCATAGGTATGTATTCATTAGTGTATAA